ATAGGACATGGGTACAGATGAGGCAGGATGCTAGAGAAGGGGGTTGATGGCATGGGGCGACAGGACTATGGGAGCAGATAGGGTGGGGGGCAGAACATGGAGGGGCAGGACCCTGGATGGTGGGAGAACTGGGGAAAGGGGCAGACCCCAGAGGCCAGATGAGTTGTAAGATAGATGGGGAGGCAGGAGTCAGATGGTCTAAGACAAAGGAGGAAATTCAGAGGAAGGAAGACTAGAACAGAGGATTTAGGACATGGGGAAAAATTGGGGGGCTGGGCTGGGCCCCAGGGGATGGGGCAACTGGGGGGGGTAGGTCATGGGGGCAGGAGAATTAGGGCAGGGAGTGCTACTTACCTGGTCATAGCCTGCCCCAGGGGGCCCCTCATCCTCGGGTTTATCCAGGGAGAGGCCGCCAGGCCTTGGGCTTGCCTCAGTGTTTTAATAGCATGAACTGCAAAGAGCCGCAGGAGACACATTCTTCTTAGCATATGCACAACGTTCCTCAGATGGCACGTGACCAGGATTCATCACCAAATTTGGTCCGCTGGGTTGGACAGCTTGCCCGGGTCGGGTATTGACAAGGAGACATTGAAGAGCCATTTGTGGCTTGCGAGCCTCAGTCTGAGTATCACTGCCTTGGGGTCATACTTATTAACACTAACTACATTTTGCAGCATCTTCACTAAGGGCTACCACGATTGCTACTACTGGTGGAACTGAAAAGGTGTTAGCAACAGTCAGGAATGTTTGAAATCTACTGTACACGTGGCCCATGTTTTGATTTTTAATGGATATAGCTGTTTGTTTAAAATTCAGGCTGTCAAGTGATAAAAAATTAATTGCGATTAATCGTACTGTTAAACAATAATTGAATACCATTTATTTAAATATTTTTGGATGTTTTCTACATTTTCAAATATATTGATTTCAATTACAACACAGAATTCGAAGTGTACAGTTCTCACTTTATATTTATTTTTATTACAAATATTTGCACTGTAAAAAACAAAAGAAATGGTATTTTTCAATTCACCTAATACAGGAGTTCTCAAACTGGGGGTTGGGACCCCTCAGGGGGTTGCGAGGTTATTACATGTGGGTCATGAGCTGTCAGCCTCAACCCCAAGCCCTGCTTTGCATCCAGCATTTATACTGGTGTTAAATATATAAAAAAGTGTTTTTAATTTATAAGGGGGGTCACACTCAGAGGCTTGCTATATGAAAGGGGTCACCAGTACAAAGGTTTGAGAACCACTGACCTAATACAAATACTGTAGTGCAATCTCTGTATCATGAAAATTGAACTTACAAAGGTAGAATTATGTACAAAAAAACCCCTGCATTCAAAAATAAAACAATGTAAAACTTTAGAGCCCACAAGTCCACTCAGTCATATTTCTTGTTCAGCCAATTGCTCACACAAACAAGTTTGTTTATATTTGCAGGAGATAATCCTGCCCACTTCTTGTTTACAACGTCACCTGAAAGTGAGAACAGGCATTTGCATGGCACTGTTGTAGCCGGCATCACAAGATATTTACGTGTCAGATGTGCTAAAGATTCATATGTCCCTTCATGCTTCAACCACCATTCCAGGGGACATCTGTCCATGCTGATGACGGGTTCTGCTCAATAACAATCCAAAGCAGTGTGGACCAACGTATGTTCATTTTCATTATCTGTGTCAGATGCCACCAGCAGAAGGTTGATTTTCTTTTTTGTTGGTTTGGGTTCTGCAGTTTCTGCATCAGAGTGTTGCTCTTTTAAGACTTCTGAAAGCATGCTCCACTCCTCGTCACTCTCAGATTTTGGAAGGCACTCAGATTCTTAAACCTTGAGTCGAGTATTGTAGCTATGTTTAGAAATCACACATTGGTACCTTATTTGCATTTTGTCAAATCTGCAGTGAAAGTGTTCTTAAAATAAACAACATGTGCTGGGTCATCATCCGAGATTGCTATAACATGAAATATATGGCAGAATGCGGGTAAAACAGAGCAGGGGACATACAATTCTCCCCCAAAGAGTTCAGTCACAAATTTAATTAACACATTTTTTTAACGAGCGTCATCAGCATGGAAGCATGTTCTCTGGAATGGTGGCCGAAGCATGGAGGGATAGACGAATATTTAGCATATCTAGCACATAAATACCTTGCAATGCCGGCTATAAAAGTGCCATGCAAATACCTGTTCTCACTTTCTGGTGACATTGTAAATAAGAAGAGGGCAGCATTCTCTTCTGTAAATGTAAACAAACTTGTTTGTCTTAGTGATTGGCTGAACAAGAAGTAGGACTGTGTGGACTTGTAGGCTCTGAAGTTTTACATTGTTTTGTTTTTGAGTACAGTTATGTTACACACAAAAATCTACCTTTGTAAATTGCACTTTCACAACAAAGAGATTGCACTACAGTACCTGTATGAGGTGAATTGAAAAATACTATTTCTTTTATCATTTTTACAGTGCAAATATTTGTAATAAAAAATAATATACACTTTGATTTCAATTACAACACAGAATACAATGTATATGAAAATGTAGAAAAACATCCAAAATATTTAATAAATTTCAAGTGGTATTCTATTGTTTAACTGTGTGATTAAAACTGCAATTAATCGTGATCAATTTTTTTAATTGTGATTAATTTTTTGAGTTAATTGTGCGAGTTAACTGCGATTAATCGACAGCCCTATTTAAAATGCAATACAAATTAATTGTATGCAAAACTGTACATCAGCTGGTACTTAACTCAAATCACTGATAAACATTGGGAAGTGAATCATGGTAATTCTGTGATACCAACACTCAGCCCTAGAAAGATGGAGGCTAGGGAGGAGGAATATCACGTGCTTGTGCAGAACAGCACTGTGGCATACTCGTACTAAGTGCATGCACAATTGGAGTGTTCCATGCACACACATGGACGCTCTCTTCTGTGAGATGCTACTGGTTAACTACAGGGCTAGTTCAGTCACTTCATGTTGGCTATACCAGAACGGAGGACCCAGCACCAACATTTTATGTAGAGAGTTGGGGAATCTGAGTCCAATTAAGATAATTTTGTAAAATGGTTCCTAGAGCAACACTTCTTTTAAGATTTTTTTGTTTTGTTTTGGCAGGTTTCAGTTGTAACTTGTTACTTCTGTAACCTACCAATAAAAGACAACTAAACAAATCTTTGAAAGTTTAAAAGAATAGTTTTCTTACCAAACAAATTGTGTGAAATCTTAGATTGCTTTCCCTATGTACCATATAAGAAGATGTTATATTAATCACTTATACCTTCACAACAGTGTTATTTTTAAACCTACCATCCAAGCAGAGCTAACATGTAGGGGCAAGATCAGCACAATACTATTATCAAAAAAGGGTGATGAGAGGAGTAATTCAGATGCTGTGATAGCACTGGGAGCACTAGTGCAGCAGAACAAAAAGGATGCTGCCTTAGCAATATATTATCAACCAATCCACTTTCCATTTTTAAGATTCTACAAAATTTTATAACCCATTGGGAATGTTTTCATAAAGATAGCCTCTAATTCACAAAAATAATCTCATTGTTTGTTATAAATGTTGGAGTTTATCATGGAACTTAAATAATAATCCTATAACCTTCTACGGTGCCTTTCATTTGAGGATCTCAAAGCATTTGACACATCAGTTTGGGTTCACTGTATATTTAAACTGGTGGTTTTTCTATTTAGAATTTTTGGCCTTAATTCTCAGTTCCAATATTTCTGCACTTAGCATTCCTGCACCTTTGTGATCCCAGGCTCTGAATCTGGGTTTTGCCAGCAGAGAGGAGCCATGAAGCTGGCAAAACCAGACACTTGAGGATCCCTCAGCATAAGGGGGTTTACCCCAGTGGCATAGGGCCAGTGGAACAGCCCTACACTGCCCTTCTTTGCAGACCATGGCCTGTACTCAGGATCAACAGAGGGAGTGTCAGTGGTGGGAGGAGGCATGACTGGAGCATACCGTGGCCCAGCTATTTAGGGCTGTTGCAAAAGTGAATATTAAAACCATCTGGCAGTGCTCTAATTTATGCCAGGAACTAGACCCGGGTGGCTCCAGAATCCAGGATGTGCAGAGATGAATCAGGACTGGGAGAGAAAGTGGCATAGAACCATTCCATCAGTCCTGTGCTGGCTGCGAACTTGACCCAAGGGCCACTCCTACCCAGTTTAAGGCACCTTTATACATGCCGCTGGAGTAATAACAGAGGGCCGTAGGGCAAATGAGAATCCCTTTGCTTGTTATTTGATTAGATGCCTATTGATAAGGTGTAAATTTATTCGATAAATAATTATGCCTAACATCACCCCTCTGAGGTAGGTGAGAACGATTACAGTCAGCAGGTGAATTTAGGCCCAGAGAGATGAAGTAATTGTCCGTGGTCACAGACAAGGGTCCCAAGACTCCTCCTGACTCTCACAGCTGACAATTTTCGGAGGTGGGAACAAAAACTGTGCATGGTGATAACAAGTTACCTGGGGGTGCGACACTGGCACCTCATAGTGCCGCAGGATGCTGTTAAAAACCCTGCCCTGAACAATTAAATCGCCCTTCCCCTCGCCCTGTAGAGTCCCAAGCCCATGGCATTAAGCACTCCCCGTGGGCTTTGATCCCCCTGTCTCCCCGCAGCACCCCCTAGCCTTAAGACACTGTGCTGCTGGCCCTCCGCCCCTGAGGTCTGACACCCGTCTGACGACCACCCCTTGTAAAAGCACTGGGTGCGCGAGCCCCGCTCTACCCCCTGAGCAGCACCGCCACTCGCTCGCTCGCCTGAGGGCCACCCCTGGCCCTGCCTCTCCCAAGAGAAGGCTCCTCCCCCTCCCCCACTAGGGGCCGCCCAGATTTCAGGCAAGCTGGCACATGCGCAGAGGCGCAGTAAACAGGCGAGCCAGCTCCTCCCCCTTACGGCCTTTGCGTGCCGCTCTCTGGTAGAGAATGCGAGCGGTGGCGGCTGCGCAGTGGGGGCACATCCGGGCACTGGGGCAGGATGAATGCTCCTTTCCAAGATGGCGGCGGAGGGAGGAGGGAAGGAGATGAACGAGATTAAGACCCAGTTCACCACCCGGGAGGGGCTGTACAAGCTGCTGAGCCACTCGGAGTACAGCCGGCCCAACCGGGTGCCCTTCAACTCGCAGGGCTCCAACCCAGTCCGCGTCTCCTTCGTCAACGTCAACGACCAGAGCGGCAACGGCGACCGGCTCTGCTTCAATGTGGGCCGGGAGCTCTACTTCTACATCTACAAGGGGGTCCGCAAGGTACCGGGGCAGCCGGGGGGCGGGAGAGACCAGGGCCCCGACCTGTTCGGAGCACGAGGGGCGTGCCAGGGGCGAGCTGCTTGGCTTCAGGGTGGTCCGGGAGCCCTACCTGCGAAGGCCAGGGAGCCGGAGGCCAGGCCAGGGGAGTGGGCTTTGCCCTACTGTGAGCTCAGCACTCTTCAGGGGGGCGGGATCCCTCTAGGCGAAGGGTGGGGGCCCTCCTAGGTGGAGTCGGTCTGTGGCCGGGAACTGTACCTGCTCACAGAGCCCCGGGGCTTGCATGGTGTCGGACCGTGTGGAGGGGGTGTAGAGGTGTGAGGGGGAGAGTCCTGAGAGAGAGGAGGACTAGTGTTGGGGGTTACCTACAGGATATAGGACTGGAAGTGACTTCTTGGGTTGTAGAGTCTAATCCCCTGCTGTGGTGGGCAACTCTGTCCTATAAACCCATTCATACATTTATAAAGCTACATTTAAAAACTAGTTAAGTTAAACAACCCAGAGAGTCCTCACTAGTAGCTAAAGTATGTTCCTGTGCAGCCCTTTCTTTGGCTCGTTTGGGCAGGTTTGGTAATGGCATAGTAACTCTGGGCCTGTCTCACCTGCTGCTACAGGCTGAAGATTATGGGACTCTCTCCGAGGAATGTTTGGTGTTCGCATGGGGCTGCCAAATCTCTGACAGGGTGGGGTTTTAGGGTTATTATTATTAGGGTTAACCTTATTTGGAGAAAATTTTTCCACCTAGAGTGAAAAATTAGAGGTCTAATGTTATAAAGTGTGAACTAACCCCAGGACTGTCTCCAGATGTGTCCAGTACAGTGAGCTGAATCCTCTAAAGGCTCTGAGACTTTAAATTTCTAATTATAACAGCAAAAGCTTTTATCATGAGAGAAGTACTGATGCAAAATAAGGCTCCCAACCTGTGAATGATATTTGGTGGTGCAGGTCTAATAGCTTGTGCATTAAATGGCTAGTATACTATATTAATGGGCAAATTGTACCTACATAAATATATGTAATTGCTGTTTTGACTTTTTGGTACTACTTGGTGCCTTACTTCCTGGGGTTTAGTGAGGCATTCTGATAATTTGCATCATCAAGTGAACAGATGTTACTTTTAATATGTGTAAGCATAGGCATAACCAATCTCAAAGTTTTATTGAGATATTATCTGTTTATCTTGGGTACATATGAACCCCCCTCCCAATTACTAGAGTATGTGAGCACCTTACAGTATTTAATGTATATACTCTGACAACCTTGAGATGTAGGGAAGAGTTGTTATTCCCACTTTACAAATAGGATTTGAGGCACAGAGAAACTTACTGACCTGCCCAAGGTCACATGGGAAGTTTGTAGCATAGCAAGGAATTGGACCTGGGTTTACACAGTTCCAGGTGAATGAATGTCCAAACCACTCTTTCTCTTGCTTGATAATTCATGTAAAATGTAAGCACTAGCTAATTGCTGAGGAGAGTTAAGCCTAGTAAGGATCAGTTGGTAATGACTAGCAACCGAACAGATGCAACTTGTGTTGTCTAATTGTATGCATTTGTTTCATACACACATTTGAATTGACATTTACATAATTTAACTTATGTGATGAGTCTTGATAATTTGGGGATGTTTTAAGTAATTGTGAACTAAATTTAAATATTAATTTGGTATTTAAGCACTTAGAGTGATTGATGTTATTGAACAGTTATCTGTCTACTCATGTTAACAAATAATATTTGTAATACTTCCATTTTATAATCCATAGTGGCCTTTTCTACATAGGAGTCAGTGTAGATGATAATTCGTATGGTTAAAATCTGTCCATCTTCCAACCCTTGTAACTGCTAGGAGTCTATCATCTTTGACTTAGTTTTCAGTACTAATAATTGCAAACTTCTGCAACTTTTTTATTTAGAGCAGCTCTTAATGCAGTCCGGTTACAGGACATGTGACTCTTACCAATCTTTTTTAGTCATTTGTTATCACACTTAAAGAAAAATCTAGAGGCTGAAAATATGCCATGAAAATAGGGAACTGAGGAATTTTTAAGTGCCAACTTACAACTTGTAAGTCTTATTTGCATTCTTCTAATAGCTTTTCCAATATCTTCAGTAAAACAGTATTTAACTTTGTATTTGTGGGCGTAGCAGCAGTTGAAAATCCTACTGTACCTACCTGCTGGATGTTTGTTTTGGGTTTTGAGACATACTATAAATGTTCTAAATATACTATTCTTACTTCAAATAATACAGTAAAATATACTAGAAGTTTAGAATAGAATTTGTGTTGGTCAAAGCAAAGCAATCCAATCTTATCAATGACCTTCAGAACAGATACTTTTAATACCATAATTACTAACTTCAGTTTAAAAAGCCTTAAAATAACAGCTGAAATATATTAAACGTATCCAAATGAAAGAAAATATTATAGATGAGAGACTAGGGAAGTTGATCTGCCATACATTTGGAATATTGTATTCATTATGAATGTATCTAGAAATATTGATGAGCTTGAAATCATTATGGCCTGTGATTCTGTAGATTGGGGCCTATGGCTTTGGTTCTCTTTGTCTGTGTAGAAAATTGGCACTAGCATAGGGAAGATTGTCAGCTGACAGTTACAGCTGTCAGAATGATTAACATAATTTTCATAAAGAGAAATGCTGTTTGTTATAAAATTTGCTACTGTTTCTTGATATGGTGTATAAGACAGGTGAAGGAGAGCTCAATGATAGATTAAACTAGAAGTGTAAAACACTGTCTTAAAATGAATAAATATAAACTGCTGTAAACTTCACATACAGCATGCTTCTAAAGTTGTCTCTAGACTAGAGAACATTTAGCCAACACTAGCTAGCTAAGACTGATTAAACTTGGCTACTTAGCTTGTGTCTATGCCAGGAAAACACCCTTAACTCAGTTTTAACAGGTTGAGCTGTAGTCTAGCTTCTGCTAGTGAACAGTGTTACTCTGAATTTACACCTGGAAGCGAGGCTTGGTTTTGTTTGTGTGTAGTTTGACTTGTGTTATGTAAGCCTGACTTAAACTTTTTCTCCTGATCAATTTAGCTAGATTAGACCAGTGATGATAGTTCAGGTACTTTAAAATGTTACAAACCTGCATTTGCTGTAGTTATTTTAAAGCTGCAGTATAACTTAGGTTAAAAAGAAATTGTTAATTTTATTACCTCTTCCTGCCTGTTAAGCAGCCTTTAAAAAGCCTTGTTCCATTAGGTTCTGTTCCTGTTGAAGTTAGAGAAGGAATTGCCATTATCTTAAGAAAACGCAGGGTCTTATTCCTCAGTTTTAAGTAACTACCTGCAGTAGGAACTTTTGCAGGTAAAGAACTTTTATTTGGTATGTACCATGCTTTATTTAACCATGAAAGAGCTAGCAAAGTAAACAGATATTGCAACGGCACACAATATCTTTAGGGGAACATATCGTAATAAGTTTATATGTTATTGTGGGCCAAGCATATTGTGCGACTGTGCTCTACTCCATGGGAGAGGGTTCCACAACTTCTTCAGGAACTAAAACTTTGATTACAATATGATTTATTCACCTTAAACACCTCCAAAGAGGTACCATCCCCTGCAAAGGTACATATATACTGGTTCAAAGTGAGTTTCCACACACAAGGAAAACAAAGAATATTTGGCTTTAAAAGGCTACATGTAAACTGTCTCAAGGCTGCCTTTCTGATCCAACAAATGGATAAGATCTTCTGTCCTAGAGCCTCAACTCTTGCGGAAGAGTTGAAAAGACTTTGGCCTATCAGAGCCCCATAAGACTGATGGATGACTTCTGGTAAGCTTTTAGTGTGCATATAGGCACTCTTATTGATTTTAATGTTTTCTCTGTAATGCTTTTGCCTTAAGAATAAAGGTGCTTGCTTAGAAAGAACTGTGTGGTAACTTGTAACTGCTGGAAATACACTGTTTATATCCCTCAGAGAGAAAGCAAAGCACAGGCGCTGGCCATTAGGTGACTGGCTTGCTGGGGATATCACAATGTAAGGCACGGAGTCATGCAGCCTTAAAATTCTGGTCTTGAGGGAGCGATGCAGGTCTCCACCCAAGAGAAGTGATGGCTGGGAGCTGGAAACTTTAAATGCGTGCCCTTGAGTGACCAAGGAGGGGGAATACAGGTGCAATTACTGTGAAACTGTGACAACTGTCTGCACTGGGAACTTCTGCAGGTTATGAACTTTTGGTATGTACTATATTTAATTCAGCCGTGGAAGAACTTGGAAATAGTTAAAATGTTTTGAAATCCCAATCTGAATGAGTCCAAATCACATTCCTAAAGGGTATTTATTTATTTAGGTTACTTTTCTTTATCTGGCTGCTTCCACGTCCCAAATCAGTTTTGTCTGCCATTTCTGTTTTGTGAATTAATCTTTAGTTGTAAGTCTCTTTATCCAGGCCACTGAATTGTTCGTGTTGCTTTAGAGATGAAACCTATATAAGGATTGGTATTCCTTGTGACACTGTGATGCTTTCTTAACCTGGTTTCTTGAGGGTAGAATCAGGAGTTGGGTCCAGTGTCTAAGATGATGTAAAAGCTTGGAATGCTGAGATAGAGAAAGTTTGGAAGAACCTACTTGTTCGCTATGAAAAGCCTCCAAGGCAGTTTGAAGGATTTTTTCCCCCAGACTGAAAGTCTCTATCAGAATATGTTTAGAAGTGAACTTGAGGAAGGTAGCAGGAAAGAATGAAATACTGGAAACTTGAGAAGAGCAGATGAGTTATATGCCAGCTATTTGACGTAAGGAGGCTTTTATGCAGTATTTTCTGTCCCGTTACAACAATCCAAAGCTCAAAAAAACCTGTTAGTAGATTCTAACCTTGTCTTAAATTTTAGATCCAATGGACAGGGGAGTGAAACTGTATGTTAGTAAGGAGAAGTTAGGGTTGTGATGCAATGAGGTGTGGCCATTTTAATGAAATACTTGGCTAGCTAAGTATTCTTGGGAGTGCTGGTATGTTCCTGTGGTTTTTGTTTT